TCGTGTGCGCCTTCGCCCTGAAGGTAGCGCCAATCTTGAACTCACTTCAGGTCAAATTGAAATTTTAGGTTTAGAGCTTGAAGTGTTAAACGCTTCAGAAACACCGCCATTCCAATTAGATGATACTGGCGTACATGATGATTTGCGCTTGCAATACCGTTACGTCGATTTACGTCGCGATGAGATGCAAAAACGCATGCGTATGCGTAGCCAAGTAACAAGGTATATCCGTAACCATTTAGAAGAAGACGGTTACTGGGATATCGAAACCCCAATGTTGACCAAAGCGACACCAGAAGGTGCGCGTGATTATCTAGTACCTTCACGTACGCATCAGGGTAGTTTTTTTGCGCTGCCACAATCCCCACAATTGTTTAAACAGTTGTTGATGATGTCGGGTATGGATCGCTATTATCAAATCGTGCGTTGTTTTCGTGATGAAGATTTACGTGCAGATCGTCAACCTGAATTTACTCAAATCGATGTCGAAACCACATTCATGGATGAAAATGATGTGATGATTGCGATGGAAGAAATGATTCGCGGTTTGTTTAAATCGGTATTGGACGTTGAATTAGCAAATCCATTCCCACGCATGGATCACAGCGAAGCAATGTTGCGTTTTGGGTTCCGGGTTTTCTAGATAAACCTTGATTTTACGTATTGCCTTGGAGTTTGTTTGATCTCGCAGACGTCATGAAGGACGTAGAATTTAAAGTTTTCTCTGGTCCAGCTAATGACCCTGATGGACGTATTGTTGTTTTACGCGTGCCGGGTGGGTCAGAGTTATCACGCAAAAAAATAGATCAATATACAGAATACGTAGGTCGTTATGGTGCTAAAGGTTTGGCGTGGATTAAAGTGAACGATGTATCTGCTGGCCGTGATGGTTTGCAATCACCTATCGTTAAATTTTTACCAGACGAAGTCATAACTGCCATAATTGAAAAAGCCGGTGTTAAAACAGGCGACATCTTATTCTTTGGTGCTGGTGAAACCAATACCGTCAATGAATCGCTTGGCGCATTACGCGTTAAGTTGGGTATCGACATGGGAATGGTTAGCGATAATTGGGAACCACTTTGGGTCGTTAACTTCCCCATGTTTGAGAAAAACAGCCAAGGTGATTGGACAGCGTTGCATCATCCATTTACGGCACCTTCTGTTGATTCGATTGAGGCCTTTAAAGCAGATCCAGGTGCGGCGTTATCTCATGCCTACGATATGGTGCTAAATGGTACTGAGTTAGGT